AAACTAGGACTTCCAGTTTATAAGATGAGCTGATATATTATAAAGCCAGCCATTCGAACCGTTTCCACTGGCCAGACCATGAATTCCAACACAGTCACCAGTCAATGTATTATTATTTATTATTGTTCCCTTGGGTTCATAGTACAATATAGGGCTTCAACTGCACGTCTCCACTTGCTTGCCTCTGTCTTACTTCTGCTGTACTTTTCACCTGCATCCATCTTAGTTCATACTCTTTCAACTCCTCTTCACACCATCTCCTCCATGTCACCCTTGCACTGATGACCCACTCACCGCCTCCCTTTCGGCCTGGTTCCACTCGAGAAATGGCCTGACGCGCGCGCGATATCACTCAGCGGTGGCCTCCTTATCACTGAATGTCCAATCCATCCATCTCCACTTTCTCCTGCATATTTGTTGGCTGGCGATTGGTTTGTTCTTGTTTTGTTTGTTCCTTCCCATAGTTTCTTGTTGTTAGTGATTGTTTCCGGTCCGGCCATCTGATCTTCAGTATAGAGAGATTGTTGACAGTCGTTGGTTGATAAAGGTCTGCATGCAGCAGGCTGTTGGAAATATTCTCTGTGACCCCCAGCCGAGTTTCTGATCCGTATAGAAGAACTGACTGACTTGATGTTGTTTGTCTTGAAAATCCGACGGAATTTTGTTGTTGATGCTGGCTGAGTGACGAAGATTTTCAGATTGGATTGGTTTCAGGTTGATGAGTGAATGTGTTTCTCGCTCGCCTTCCCGATTCTCGCTCGATTTGACATCCTCGTCTGTTCCTCCTCCTGTAGTTGAGACAATGCTCCCTAGATAAGTGAGCGAATGAAGTAAGCTTTTTCAAATCCCTCCCGTTGATGGTGATTTGCACTGGATGTTTCTGCTGTTGTTGTTGGTTGGTTGGTTACCAGTCAGTGTAATAGACGAGTAACTGTTCTCTTACTTGACTTGGTGGACTCTGCTGGTCACAACTTCTCACTAGAGAACTCCAGGTAATTTCCTGCGTAAAACTAATAGCTGGTGAGCATTATATTAGATTAACTTTCAAATGAAACGTCCAGGGTTCGAACCTCAGTGGGTGCGGACTGATGAAGAGTCCTAAAATAAGACGAAAAACCTGTCTAATCCTCCTTGGATGTTTTCCAATGGTTCTCTAACTGATGTTATTCTAGTGTTGGTTTGTAGGGATTCGGTTAATTGGTTACAGGATTTCATCATGAGCTGACATCGGTTAGAGAACCATTGGAAAACCAGCTGGGAGTACTGGACAGCTGATTCTGTTGTCCCAGTTTGGGACTCTTCAGCAGTACGCACCCGCCCCACCGACAGGGTTAGAACCCAGGACCTTCTGGTTACAAGGCTAGCAACCTCGTATACCATTAAGTCACTGGGACCCGATCCATTGGCCAGTCCATGAATTCTAACTTCTGCCAATTCACGATATAACGCAACGGCTAGCCAATGTCTTCACTAGCGAGTATTTGTCCTCACTCCCAGCCTTCTGCACCCAACTGGTCACGACTTCTCACTGGAACTCCAGGTAACTACCTGCCTGAATGGCACAATCAAATTTAATTCCTAATTAATTAGAAGTTTAGCAAAATAAAAGAAATTGGTATTAAATGCTATGAGGACCATCCGGGAGGAAGCTACTAATTTGGGTTTTGTATTGCTTATTGCTGTCTGTCTGTCTGTTTTCGACATAGAACTTTGCACAAATGTGCGGAAGTTCAAGTCGCCACACTCCGTATAGCACGCGAAGCAAGAGAAGAAAGTACAAGAAAAGCATAATAGAAACAGTGAGCAGAGGTGTGAGACAAAGGAGTAATAACGAAGAACAAAACAGTTTCATTGGAGATCATAAGTCACAAGGAGTGGATGCATCTGCGCCACTGAGAACGATTTTGAGCCATGTCACCAATTGTTTCCAACCATAGATTTTTACCGTCCCGAGGACCCCAGCCTGGAAGTCTACACCTTTCTACATGGCTTAGACCAACTGTTGTGGATTTCATTGACTGGTGCCAAGTTTTTGTTTGACCGCCGCCAGCTTTTTTCCAGCCTAACCCTATATCCGCTAACATAGCTCGTCGAGGGAGGCGATGGCTTGGCATACGTAACACATGTCCTAACCATCTCAGTCTTTGTAGCTTCACGACTTCGTCGATTGATTTCCCCTGTTCACCTAGAATTCGACGCCTAACTTCAATGTTGCTCACCTTATTATGCCACTTTACACGGGAAATAGAGCGCAGGCACCTATGATCAAAGACAGCTAATCTTTTCATGTCTTCCACTCTCAGTGGCCACGTCTCACAACCATAGAGAAGGACGGAGCGGACTGATGAGCAGTACACCCGCCCCTTGGTCGATAGTCGAACATCTCGTCTACGCCAGAGTCGGCGTAAACTAACAAATGCGAAACGAGCCCCCTGTATTCGTGCTGAGATTTCGTCAGAGATCAGCCCGTTGAGGCTGATGGTACTTCCCAAATAAGTGAAGCGGTCAATGTGCTCTACCACTTCATTTCCTATTTTTAAACTAGGCGTCGATGTAGTCCAGTCCTGTAACATCATCTTGCATTTGGCGGGAGCGAATCGCATGCCAAACATTCGTAGATTGTGGCTCAAGGTGTTTAGAAGACTCTGCATTTCGTCAGCGTCTTCGCCTAGAAGGACTATATCGTCTGCATATTCCAAGTCAACGAGATTATTCCCCGGTAGCAAGTCAATCCCTGAGTCGCTGAAGTCACTTATGATTAAGTCCATTAACACATCTACGATGAAGTTGAATAGAAAATTGCTTATTGCTACTCTTCAGCATATAGTAGTATATGGCACTCCTCGGAAATTCGAACTTACATCAGCCAACCAGTGCTATAGTCAAAGACATTAACACTGAGCTATTTCGACACATCACTAACCCCCCTCCCTTAAAGACATTAGCGGATAAAATAATTGGTCATTAAGTGTTGAAACATTGTCATGAGTATATCCATTTGTATTAATGCCGACTAAACTCTATCAGTCGAAATCACCGAAAATACCCATTGAGTCATGAAGAGAATAAAAGACAGATTCAGCGAAGAAAATTTTCTTTATCGACGAAATCATCTTCAGAGGCTGACTGTACAGTCGTATTTATACTTACCAAAAAAAGTATATAGTGGTCTATTACTGAGTAATAGGGGCTGGGGTGACATAATTGATATAATTACTGAGAAGTGGCTTTAGAAGTGAAAAGAATTAAAAGTTGTAAATTACGTGGTACTCAACGATGGCATAAAGATACAAATTTGATAAAGTTAAAATTGCCATTAAGTGAGAATAAAGGTGGTATTTGAGTGACAATTTAACAAGTGTGAAGAGGGTGTGAAAAAGTACAAAAGGAGCATATGAAACTGATAATAGTGAATTAATTATTAAAGCGAAAGCAGACTAAGAGTAAAATTAAAAATTAAAAACAAAAGAAAAAATCAAAATTTTTTTACAGGGAACGATTAGTGAAGAGGTTAAGACCAAGGTAGAATAAGATACTGGACGAACTATTTCTGTATACAGAGTACAGGGTTGTATTGACGAATTACCAACGCCTCCGCCATACAAAAAAGTGTTGAAACCTGACGCCTTTTGTACCATTCGGCTTCACTTTGTAGATGATCTTGAAAGACGACTCTGGTGGAGCTACATGACCTGAGTTCACCAAATGCTCGAGAATTGAGCTAGTAATTGGCTTACATTGTCCCTTTGCTAACCATGCGTTTGGAAAGCGTGAGCTTTGTGCGAGCGGCCAATATAACTAGCTGCACACGAGCAGCAGGTGAATTTATAAACACACATTGAGGTGGCCCGTCCAAATTGGCAGTTTATCCTTCACGCATCCATTGATCATTTGTCGGCTCTAGAAACTGATACGTAGCTCAGCCATAAAGAAGGCTTTCCTGAGTGATCTGGATAAGCAGAGATTCTTCAGGATCTCAGCTACGCTATCACATTTAAATTCAACACTCATAAATAGCAGTTTCTTCTCAGCACCGTCTGGATTCTTCCAGGCTTTTCCCTTAACTTCATGTTTTTCTCGACAAATCTTGGAGGATATCCATTCTCTATGAGGACTTGTTTGAGTCGCCTCAGTTCCCCCCCATTCATTGTATCACTTGAACATATCCTCATTATTTTCACTGCTAAAGCCACTTCTGAGTAATTATATCAATTATGTCACCCCAACCCCTATTTCTCAATAATAGACCACTATATATTTTTCTGGTAAGTATAAATACGACTGTATAGCCTCTGAAGATGATTTCTTCACCGGCGACTGGCCCTATTCAGGTAGGTTGTTACCTGGAGTTCCAGTGGGAAATCGTGACCAGTTGGGTGCAGAAGGTCTGGTGTGAGGACAAATACTCGCTAGCGAAGACATTGGCTAGCCGTTGCGTTATATCGTGAATTGGCAGAAGTTAGAATTCATGGACTGGCCAATGGATCGGGTCCCAGTGGCTTAATGGTATACGAGCTTGCTAGCCTTGTAACCAGAAGGTCCTGGGTCCACCCCACCCCTGTCGGCGGGGCGGGTGCGTACTGATGAAGAATACCGAACTAGGACGGGACAGCTGTCCAGTACTCCCAGATTTTCGAATGGTTCTCCAATTAATGTCAGCTCATGATGAAATCATGTAACCAAAAGAAACTTTTCTTTGCTGAATCTGTCTTTTATTTTCTATCAGTCTAGTTTTCAGTGTGTGTGTGTGTGTGTGTGCGATGGTGTGTTTATTTATACATGTGTGAGTCACACACACGCTAAATTAGAAAGATACAGTACTAATTAACTCATGTAAAAGTGTGAATATATTAAGAAATATTAATTAACAGTCAATTAGGGGCAGGTAAAATGTATCCTGTCAACTTTCTTGGCGTGACAAAATTACATAACATCGTTAGCAAATTGATTGGTCATCAACGTTAGTGTTAATCAGTCAGTCAGTCAGTCAGTCAGTCAGCCAGCCAACCAGTTGACTAGCTGGTCATTTATCTTTCAAGCCGTTGTAGTCATATTTAAACCGTTATTTCACCCCACATTAAATGCAAATTAGAAAATAAACTGTACTGTGGACATTAACTAATCTCTGGTACAATATTCATTCAAGCTTTAGGGGATCAAAAGTAAGTCAGAGACGTATGTCAACGTTGATTCATGTGTTTTTGGTTAATTATCAACTCAATAATGATTTCATCTTGAGGCATCTTTAGAGGACATTTATGATTCATATATTATTACTATTTATTATGGTTTCGTTTAGTTCCTAGAGGAACATAATACTCTAGCCTAACGTCTCCATTGCGTTCGGTTCTCCGTTAAAGTTTTCACCTGGCTCCAAGTCTGCAACCCACATGCTTTCATCTCCTCTTCACATATCCTCCTCCATGTCACCCTAACACTGACCATCAGCTAACTCGCCGCTTCCCATTCGCGTTCCAATCAAACAAAGGCCTGGTGTGTGATGTCACTGCCTTGATGGTTTGTTTCTTTAGAGTATGGTCACCAATCCACCTAACTCCATTTCTTCCAGCATATTTGTTGCACAAATGGTTACTGCTGGTCTGATTCGCTCATTGTCAGAGATCCCACCCTGTTGCTGATCTGTTCTGGCTAGCCATCTGATTTTGAGTAGTATTGGGCGAAGACAGCTGTTGATGAAGGTTTGCAGTTTGTTCGAAGTGCCTTTCGTAGCACGGAACTAAGTCTCTGATACGTATAGTAAGTAGCACTGAATTCACATTGGAGTTGAAAATCCGGATCTTATTTTCGTTCTGAGTGTGGTGTGCTGATGCTCTCCACACAGACTGGAGAGCAACGAAAGCTTACTTTGCTTTCCCTATCCTCGCACTTTGATATCCTCATCAGTTCTGTCCCCCTGTAGTTGAAACGATGCTTCCCAAGTAGGTGGGTAAAGGGGGTTTCTTCCTTCAGATTCCCTCCATATATGCTGGCTGATTGTTATCCGTTGTTGTTGTTGTTGTCGCTGTCAGTCAGCAATCTTCATCATCTCTGTCTCCTCCTTCTCTATGTTCACCTTAAGGAAGTCCTATCTTCTCTTGATGCTTCTCCTATCGCCAACTTGTTGCTTTTCACTTGCATATGATCCAGTTTGTGGGAAATCAGACACATATATCACATCGGCGAAGTCCCGATGCTCCAAGTTTTTTTTGTTGGTTCATTTAGCGCCTGTCTCCTCGTTGCCCGACGCTTTCCGTCGCAGTAACCAATCTACCGCAATCAGAAAATTAATCGCTGGAGATTTTAGGCAGCCAGACTTCCTTGTCTTACTCGCGTCTTCACTTCTTCGAAGAATTCCGTGAGTTTCTCCTTGTGGATCACTTGGCATGCAACACTATGGTAAAGCTGTTGGATGAGACGTATAATTGTTGGCGGATGTGTTCTGAAGGTGCTGTCCTCTCTCCTCGTCTTTTTTATCTTTCTTTTTACGTGAATGACCTCTTTCGGAAGAAATCAACTGTGTTAAATGTTCTGACGATCTTACTGTTCTGTTGTCAATTACTTTCTGAGCTGACTGTTTCAAATTGATATTAACTTGTTGTCCGACATTAGCCATGGGTTGAAGTCAAACGGTCATAGGTAGAATCCTTTCAAATGTCAGACAGTTAATTTCACTTTCAGGAATGAACATGATCTTAACGAACTAATCACTTCATAAAAATGCTTGTAGCTTAGAGGACAGTGATATAGAGAATAAGTCAAGCGTAAAATTATTATTGTTATTCTCTTGGATTTCAACTGGAACACAGGTGGGCTTCAACAACACATCTCCACTGTGTTATGTTTTCTGCCATCCTCTACAGTTGGCCAGCTCCACAACTGCCCAGAATCTCTCATATCCTCATCCAACTTACATAATCTCTCGCACCTTCCACCCATTCGTCGCTTCCAATTGCAGTGGGATTCCACTCGAACAATGGCCTGCCTTGTGCACGGTGTCATTCGACGGTCTCCTCGATGTATACCCGATCAATCCATCTCTATTTTCTCCTACATATATTTGTTGAGCGATGGGCTCTCACCTGTTGGTTTGTTCCCACAGCAGCTGTTGATGAAAGTCTACAAAAGACTGTTGGAAATGCTTTTCGTTACACGTAGAGCAAGTTTTTCACCAGTATAGAAGCACTGATCGACTTGACATTGCTGTTCAACAGAATCCGAGTCCTGTTCCTTATGCTGGCTGAGTGAGTGTAGAAGATTTCCAAACTGGTTTCAGGCGTTGATGAAGGTGTATCTTGCCTTGTTTTTCCGATTCTGACTGAATTTGACATCTTCATCCGTGCTGTCCGACTGCCTGTAGTTGAAACGATGCTTCCTGGCTGGATAAGCAAAGGGAGTATAACCTCTGATATTGATAGGTGCTGGTTGTTGTTGTTGTTGTTGTTGCTGTGGTTCACTGGTGATCTTCATCACCTACCTCTGTCTCCACCCTCTCTATGTTCACCTGGAGTCCTGTCTTCGCTGCCTGCCCGGCATCGCCTCTTCTGCCAGCTTGTTGGTTTTCGCCTGCCTGCCTACCTGCAAGTCTTCGAGTTTGTGTGACATTAGACATACACATATCTAATCTGCGAAATCCAGATCTTCTAGAGTCTTCTTATTGGTGGTTCAACGTGTTCCTATCTCCTCGTTCCCCCATGCACAGTCTGACGAATAATCCAGTCAAATATAATTAAGAATATCTTTAGTGATAATAGGTGGCCTTGTTATGCACTTCAAACGCCTTGCATAAAATACCTTCGTATTATTCTACCCTCTGACCTTTCGTGGTCAAATAATATTCAATCTAATTCTAAGAAAATGCTCCGTCTAACCTTCTTCTACATTAAGAAATTAAGATAGTCTGGAACTGCTCAACGTTAACTTTTACATTTCAGTACATACCACTCATAAGGTCATCATGAGTTGATGTTGGTTTGTAATATATACTGAAACCATGACTGCACAGCAAATTATTATTTATTTCCTTCACGTTCCCAGTGGAACATAGGGCTTCAAGCTGGGGGATTGAAGTTTCGGTAACAGTGTTTATTTTTAGAGGATGGGGTTGTTAGCCATCCTCATGCCCAACCCTTCCTCTTTACCAGTCTTATTACTGGATAAGTGAGGTAAAGGAGTGCATTGGCCGGTGATCGAACCATGGCCCATGTGCATGGTCGGTGAGCATGCTAACCACTGTGCCACCGACGCACAACTCCTAGCTTAGTGATAGGGAGTGAAGTGATAGAACATGTTGACCACTTCACCCATTTGGGAAGTTGTATCAACACCAACGGACTGGTTGGTGACGAAATCTCTGAAGGGATCCAAAAAGCTTGAGCTGCTTTCGCTAACTTACACCATCTCTGGCGTAGGCGTGACATCCGGCTATCAACCAAGGGACGTGTGTACTGCTCAGCTGCGGTTCGCTCCGTCCTTCTCTGTGACTCTGAAACATGGCCAATACGAGTTGTTGAAGACATGAAAAGGTTGACTGTTTTTGATCATAGATGTCTACGATCTCTTTCTCACGTTAGGTGGTATAATAAGGTAAGTAATGTTGACGATAGGCGTAGAGTGTTGGGCAAAGAAGGAAAATCAATCGACGATACTATAAAGTTACATAGACTAAGATGGCTAGGTCACGTGGTGCGCATGCCTAACCATCGCCTCCCCCGCCGACGGGCATTACTAGCTGATATACGTGCAGGTTGGAAAAGAGTAAGTGGTGGCCAAACAAAACATGGCATCAATCCATGAAATCCTTGACAGTTAAACTGAGTCGGTCAGGTAGGGAGATGCAGACTTCCGGGTTGGGGCCCTCGGGACTGACTCTAGGAATCAATGGCTGGAGACAATAGGTAGTGACATGGCTCAGAATCGTTGTCAATGGCCAGCGCAGATGTATTCAGTCTCTGTAATCTTTCATATTCCTTACCACCATTACCCATTCTGTTTCGCTCTTATACCTGTCAAACTTTATTGATTCTCTTCACTCATCTTCTTGTCTACCTTTGTGTGCTATTTGGAAGGTGACAACTCGAACTGCTGCACTTCGGTGCCAAGTTCTATGTTGAATCCAGACAGACAGACAGACGACACACATACAGCAAATGGTGTGTTAGATTTCCTCACGAACCAACCAACATTAGCTAGAGTGCTATTAGGAACTACAAAAGAACTGAAGAGGTGCTTTATTTTGATATCATCAGACATTGCACAGCGGTTGATCGATTTCCAGGGCGACAATGTTACCATCCATTCAACGTGAGCTGGAAAATTCCAGCGTTGATAGTTCATGATTTCTACTAATTCATTAAATATCTCCATACTCGAACAATGTCACCAGTGAACAAGTGTGTGGTGCGTGTTACTGACAAGAATTTATAAGTAATATATTAGGTGTGTGATACTTTCTACGAAAATCTTGAATAGTGGAGTAACAGATTAGGTTATTAAGAAGCGGTTGGGTGGGATGAGGCGATTTTGCTACGAAATTTTATTGCATTCTGCCTATACATTTCGTGTCAGTTCCGTCAACCATATGAAATTTCTGTGGCCTTCAGCTTTTTAAAAGGGAAAAAAACCTGGAGCTTCCTGTGGGGTTTTGAAGTCATTGGTGAAGTTCAGGTTGCTGCTGAGAGAAAGCTGTCCACGATATCTAGTGTGAAAACGGCACACAGACGTCTTGGAAGAAGGTCGTCGAGTGGACGGGTAGGGAACTTAGCCGAAATGTAGGGTTCTGTGGTTTTAGGTAAATAGGGATCCACTCTGATTTTGTTAGTGACGCCGCCAAATTTTCTGCGACCTACGTTACCAAGATTAGACGAAGATTCTAGGGCATAGCTACTGGCTTTCTAGTATACATAATTTTTGCCTACTGCCGCTGTTCACCAGCTGTAGTTATTGAATGCTCTCTGACCTATGTGCGTAGACATGAGCTTGTGTAAATTACAAGACAGTCAATCAGCTTGATGCCATACATGAACTCAGCATGTCAGTAGAACACGTACACCACAAGTGTCCTTATACTAGGCGTTATGAATTACATTTGTCACAAAATCTAACGAAAACATTAAGAAATTCAACTAGAGTTTGGTCGCTAGTGATTGGATGCATGCTTCTCTGA